CTAGTCAATTGTTGCGTGACTTTCAATTTGAAATAGCGAAATGCCAGAGCCCAGGAAGCCGACGCTGAAATGCTCTACATGCAGTTGCAGTTATGCAGATGATATATGCAATTGTCTCAAATGAACTCTTAGAGCATCTTAAAACGTTTGATTGGGAAGTTCTTATATCTGTTCAATGGATTGATTCTAGATTTTACTGGGTATCTTCCATATTTTGCAGTTCTTTACATGACGTTCTCCTCAAGCTTTCGTCTGCGGAAGATTGATAAGCACACTTCCTAGACTTCGTAGGCATATGCTATAAGAAATTATCTAAAAAGAGCTCTTGGAGGAACTTAAAACTTTTTCTAGACGAGATAAACTCGCATCCATTCCTAGCTTACCAAATTCCTTCAACTTTCTTCTCTAGAGTTCATTTTCCATTTACAATTTTTCACTTTCAGCTAGTTGATAGCCAATTGAAGCCTAAAAGTAGAGCAGCATCAATGCAAAACTCGCCGAAAAGCGAACACGAAATTCCTGCTCGCAGCGCCCCAAATGTATGCAACGATATTTTTTTACAAATCATTTTAGAGTATTTTTTTATTTATTTACTCAAAATTTTTTTTTTTTTTTTTTTTTTTTTTGCATTTATTTTTTGTGAAAAGCTAATCAATTTAGCTGTCTGGTGACATGCCAAAGGCCCGAACCAATGTCAATGCTGAGAGCAACTGAATGGGAAGTTGGGGCCGGTTGGATGAGTTTTGTGAACTGGAACTCGGGCTCTGGTCATGTCCTCTGTGTGGTCCGGGTGGCACGTCCTGCGCAGCTGGGCACTGAAAGCAGTCATTAACTTTTAAATGAAGCAACGGAAACGAGATAAGCACGTGAAGCGTACACGACCGGCCCCCACGACGCGGCCCGACCCCGCCCCACACTTTACCGCGACCTCCAGCCCTGGGCTGGTGACGATTGACGCTTGGCCCATTCAGTGCCCGGCGCTTGCGGCCATTTGTGATGTTATCGCTGCCACGCCCACTGGCAACTCGCGCCCCCAAATGAGCCATAATTATTCAATAAGAAATAATAAAGTAGCGGACGCCCATTCTGGGGCTGGGGGTGCTCGCTTTGCCCGGGAACGTCGCGTTGTTGAACATATATTTTCATTGATGGACATGCGATGCGACGCGACGTCAATTGAAGTTGGACCTGGCGCTGGGCTTGGGATTGGGCTTGGGCACTGGAGCTGTTTAGCTCTAGGTGGGACTAGGTGCACTGTGCAGCTCGTTCAGGCCCAGTCAGCCCCCTTTTTGGCTCCCCCCTGGGGCAAATGATTGTTGCGTGACTTGCAGCTTTTTCGCTTTGTGTTTGTGTTTGCACTGAAAATTCCTTAATTTGCCAGGCTGACCGAACGCCCGCCAGCCGGCCAGACAATCGAAGCCCTCCTCTAAGACCTACTACGCCTCCTCAGCCCAGTTGTTGGGGCATTGTTGACGCTGTTAAGTAGTTACATTTTGTAGCGATTTGTCGAACAACACCAAAAAGCTGGCAAACAAAACGACTGAACGCATGGACGAAGAGTGGGGCTTCCTCGGTGTGTGTTGATGTGAAGCGGAGTTTGAGTACTGGGGCGTAAAGCAAACAATGTTGCAGTGTTGTAGAAAGACACACTTGAGCTGAGTGGTACATGAAATTGTTTTAAGTTCCTTTTTAATTATAATTATTTAAAATGAAATTACAATGAGCTCGACAGGATTTGCTGCATATGATGTGAGAAGTTTGTGTGCAATGACAATGACAATGGCAATGACAGTGACAATGACAATGACAATGACAATGACAATGACAATGACAATGACAATGACAATGACAATGACAATGACAATGACAATGACAATGGCAATGACAACGAAATTGAAGGAGAAACAGAAAAAAAAAGAATCGGAATCGGAATGAAGACTACTTAGATAATCCACATAAAATCCACAGCTTTAAGGTCTGACTGAAAATGGCTGCCTATAAAAGGAAATGAGCAGACAAAGTTGGTTTTTCTAATGGTTTCTCTATGGCTGTCATTAATTTCACAATTCAGTTCACAATTGTTGCTGCAATGCATTGTGAATTTGTGTCACAAGGAGACAAAGCAACAACAACTCGTTACAAAAGTTTTGGTAAGCGCAGGAAAAAACAATAAATGAAGCTTTTGTTGTCTTCTTTGGGGACTTGGAGGGGAATTTGAATTTGAAATTTAGGATATACATACAACATCCCATCTGTATGTAGTTGTATGTTGCGTGTATCTGAATTCCAGTCAAACGGGGGCTCGAGTCTGATATGAAATTTAGGGCTAGGCAAACACAGCGCTTCAGACAAGGGATATAAACAGGAGACTATAAATAAAAGACAACGCGTGTTAACTCTACAAAATTAATGAGTCATCGTTAAAGTTAACAACTTGCACAAAATTTGTTTATCTAAAGTGCTAACTAACTAACCCCAGCTACATAGTTGAGCCTAACCCCCCTCTCGAGCACCCGCTCCAGGGCCTGTAGAGTGTGGTGTCTATAAATTGATATACCGATTCGGGCTGGGGTTGTCGCACACGTAATCACTTTTTAAGTGTTTGACAATTTATGATACATGAAAATGTTTTGCCAGCCCGCAGAGCAGACACCTGATCCCAGCCTCCTGCCGCCGCCAGGCCTTCTTTTCCTAGCCACCGTCTCAGTCTTCTCGAGTAAGCTGTGCGTGGGCTGACATTAAGACTCAAAGATTATTTTGATACCCTACGCTTGAGGTACTTACTGTGACTCATGCAGCTTGGCTTGGTCTAAGCTCGCTTTACACCAAATGTTACATACAAAAGGATTTATATACACACATACTATATACATATGAATACATTTTACATAAGTATATATTAGTGTATTTCCACTTCGATAAATGCTTTGGGAAATTTACTGTCTTGCTGCCTCGTTGCTTCTGAGGCTGTCTCAAAGGGTTGCCTCGCCCGTCTCCTGCTCCCGCCTCCTGCTACCCCCTCTGGGCTCTTGTCTTCTTGTCAGCGCAATAAACACCTCAAAGTTGATGACATTTCATTAAAATCAACGCAGCCTGGCGGAGAGGCAGCATTGCCCGTGGTGGGGCGGAAGGGCCGACGGGCGGAGGGGCGTGGCAAATGAATTTTACTTATGAAGCATGAAAGTGAGTGCCGAAAGAGGGCAGCCAGCTTCTTGGGCTGCTGGATTTTTGGATACCCATATATATGATGCGCTGCCTTCTTTTGCACTGACGCAACATTTTCGTGTTCATTTCATAAAAGGCAGCGCAGCTAGCAGCGACGTCGACCGCGACTGCGACGCTACTGAGTTTCATTTTGAAGAAGCTGCCAAAGCGCTCTACCACACACGAAAATGGGTAAGGACAGGAGGCGAAGGGACAGGGTCTATTGGTCTATTTGATTTGTGTAAGTGATGTGCTGAAAGATGCACTGAATAAGTACTATGAAAAGGAACGGGTTACAGCTAAATGGATTGTTAAGGGCGAACAGGCAAGGGGGTGGAAGGGGAGGGGGGACGGATTTGTTTTAGTGCCTGGTGCAAAGTGTCTTTGATTGCAAAAGCCGCAACTATAAAACACTCGAACCTGGAAATATATAACAGCTAGAGGGTATATGGGCAGCTGGGAAAGGTTTGCAATGTATGGATAAAAGCTTATATATATATAACTATATGAGACAGTCTCTCTCCTACCTAGTCTATAATATACTTTCATTAGCCATAGTGTTAAAGCTCTATGGATAATACCGAAAACTGGCTTAGACATTCTAATGCAAATTTCAAAGTAGTTCTGAAACACATCAATTTGAAACTTGTCCATCAAATAAAATATTTGGAAAAATATCATTGGTATATTTTTACTTCATTTAGTGTAGAGGGTATTTGAGCGCATATATCCTCTATTTTAGTTAAGTGCAGCACTTTTAATTATATTTTGATAGCGACAGCAGTCGAAACTTAGCTTTGAACTTTGCTGGTTCGTCTCGCACTTCGACATGTGCGAAACTTAATTGAAACATGTTACGCTAAAAGGTAATGTGGTTATGCTGGTTCGATCGCAGAGCCCAGCAGAGAACCTGTTCAGCCGCATCAAAGTATTGTGCTTTTACTCTTCAAAATAGATCATAATATCACTCTATATATGGATGGGGCTTTGACATTTTTTATAGAGATTTTCGTATGGTGAGAGATTGCTCTCAACATCGTGTCACTAGGTTTATCATATATAAATATATGATATAAGATATAGAAGTTGAGGAGCCTTCAAAAATTATAGAGTTCCTTAGTCCGTAGATGACTTATCTATATATACTTGTATACTAGATCTATCAAATCTCCATTGAATATAATCAGAATAAAGGCTAGATAGATAGACTGTACAGGAATACGCTAGCATATAGTATATGGCATATAGTATATAGACTGTACAGGAATATGCTAGCATATAGTATATAAATTTGTATATTTTTATAGTTCCAAGTCAAAGTCTAAAAGCATTAACTCGTCTACAATTTTTCCCAAAGACAGTTACAAATGGAACTTCACTACATCTATAGAGTTCATTGTCCTGATTGGGTATACGAAATGCTCTATAGCATCACGAGCACGTCTACTTTCGCTTGTAACCCATTTTAAAGGAGCTCTAGCATATAATTATGACAGCTACTCTACCCAGTTCATTCGCAGAGTCTTCGATGCAGCCTAGCAACATTTGAAGACTCTGGCAACATTTGTGGCCAGGCAGCCGGCAACATTTGTTGCTGGGCCCCTCGTGCTGGCCGTCGGGCCAACGAATGCAGTTCGCTTTGCTGTTCGTGTCGGCTTTAGTAGTTCAGGCGACTCGTGCGGAGTTCGTGTGCTTCGTTTGGCAGCGGCTCGTTGGGCCGGCCGAAGGCCATGCGAGTTGTGTTAGGTCCTGTGCTGTTCTTAGCCTGTTCGCTGTTCGCTGGCCCAATGCGAGCCTCGTTCAGTGCTCGGGCAACTTCCTAGCGCGTCGGTCGGTCGGTGAGAGCAAGCGCCAGCAAAATTTCTTCACTTCTGCCAGCTTCACTTCAGAAACGGCAAAAAAACGAGCGAATTGCCGTTAGACGTTTATCGTTTACCGTTTGTCGTTCGACGTTCACAGTTTGTCGTTAGCCGTTAATCGCTTCTACGGCGACCGTTACGAAAAGGTTTTCAAAAACGTTGCAAAATGTTTGAAAATTAATTTTGATATTATCAAAACATAACAGAGAAATGAGAGGATAGAGAGAAGTGTGCTAAAGGGAATTAGTAACAAGTGTTGCAAACGTTGCAAAGTCTCACAGTTTAAAATATATAATTTTTTTGAGTGTTTTTTCAAAGTGTTTTTTTTTTTTTCCAAAAATTATTTAACGTTGCAAGTGAACAGAAAAACAAGTGTTGGAAAAATTTGTAGTTTCTCTGTGGCATTCACGCAAAAGGTAACTAAAAATCGGTATTATTTTTAGATCAACTATTCTTATTTTGTGTTTTTTTAGTGTTACAAAGTGGAAATTTAATGTCATTTGTGTGGGTTTTGAAAAACTAATATCAATAATAATCACGTAGAGTTGGAACAGAATTAAATTAAAGCAATTTTGAGATTGTGAGAGCTGCAATTGATTAGTTTGACTGGAATATGCCAATTTCTTTAGATCTTATTATTACTCTGGCTATATTTATTATTATTTTTATTCCTAATGATACTTTCATTATAGTCTATTTGGTCTTCTTGACTGGAGTGGCTTTAAAAATAATTAAAACAACATATATATCAATTTTAAAAGAAAGAAGAAAGCATTTCAATATCAAACAAATTATTGCTGTCTTTTTCTTTATTTTTTAAATTTTCTTTTTACATTTCCAAATCGTTAAGAGACAAGAAAACTATGTATATCTATATATATGAATATATTAATAATAAGCTCAAATATAATAATCCAGCTCGATCTTTATTGATGATGAATTTATTGAATTGATAATTATTTTCTTTTTGAGTATTTCATTGAGCAGGTTAATTATCCGTTTAGTTGGCTAACTCCATTATTGTTAGCCAACACAGATTTCTGATTTAATGTTAAATTTGTATTTTATGGGAAACTAATTACCAGGTTTCTGTCTGTCTCCCTCTCGCATCTCACTTGACCCCTCTGAACTGGCATTTGTCTAAATTCGAATTGCATTACCCAACACTGGTATCAGATTATATTTACGCAGTAGCCCTGTTTACAGATTTCTCTCTCTATCTCTCTCGCTGTCTCTCAATCTCTCTCTCTCTCTCTTTTTCTGTCTCTCTCAATCTCCCTCACTTTTTCTCCTCCTTCTCGACTCCTTTCATCTGGCACGCATTGAGATTCTAACTAAATCTAACACTGGCTACAGATTAAAGTTTCACTTTGCAAAGTGAAAAGTCAAAAACTTTTGGATCATCTTGTAGAGATCGTTTTGTCTGCAGCCACGCGAATTTCAAAGGCTGTGCGAAAAAGTTTTCGCGTTTCTTTCTCTTTTTTTTTTTTTTGTCTTGGCTGTTCGCTGACACAAAGAGTCAAACTATAAACGGCGCCCGCACCACAACTGACACCGCCCCCACTCCCCCACACCGCCCACGTCTTGAGCCCTTGTCAAGTTTTTAGTCGCTGTGATTTATGTTTTATTAATATTAAAAGTGATTTATTAGCCATGAAAATTTTCGCTGGCTTAAAAAACTTGGCCTGCGCATCCAGTCGACTCCGGTCCAGGTGCAGGTCCTGCAGGTAGTATGCTTATTTCTCGCTATCTGCTGGCTGGCGCCACGCCTCTTTAATTACAGACATGTTGCAGCGCTGCAGTGGTGCAGGGCGCGGCGGATGGCGGGTGGCCGGTGGCGGAAGGAGGCGGAGGGAGACGAAGCGAAACAGATGCGTTATCCTTGTGCTCATTATCCTGTTGCCAACTTAAGCTAAACTGAACAACGAGATTAAAATTGTAAATGACAGCCAGACTGACAGGACAGGACGAAAGAGCTGAAGCTGTACCTGTAGCTGGGGCGCCAGACAGGAGTTGCAGCAGGAGTTGAGCAGGAGTTGCCGTCGCAGTTGAAGTTGAAGTTGAAGTCAGCCAACAGCTGCTCCTTCACAGTTGTGTCTGTTGCTGCTGTTGTTGTTGTTGTTGTTTTTGTTGTTTTTGTCACTGTTGCAGGACATCGAGCTGGCAACGGTCGCGCCACTTGCTATCTGTCGTCSTTTTTTAATGAAAATTAATTAATTAAATCATTTTTTACGCAGTCGCCACTTGCAAAAATCTCACACAGTTACTGCAGCACTGTGTGTGTGTGTGTGTGTAAGTGCATTATTATTAAATTACATAATAAATATTATGACTCGGCATCCTTTGACTGCTCTTCTTCCTTCGCAGCATTTCCCTTTGTGCAATGCAAATTCCAAAACTTTTCTTCTTCACTTTTTTCTTTTTTTTTTTTTTGTATTTCGTATAAAAGTTGGTAATACAATTTGCATTCTTTTGCTCAAATTTGTCAGCTCAAATATTATAATTTCTTTATTGCATTAGGACTCTGAGTAAGTTGAAATAACAACAATAATTTTATTGCGATCAAAACAAATTTATATAAATATTGAAATTTTTTCTCTTTCATTCATTTTATGAAGTAAAAATGTTTTAACTTAGCTTAAATAAGCTAATAGATATGTGATAAAATTGGATTTCTTAAAGAACTAAATAACTGTTTTTAATAGTCGAAATATAGTTTTATATATACAATATATATTATTTGATTTTCATTGTTTATTTAGCTTCTTAGCTTAGCTTATTTATCCAAATATAATTTTTTTTCTCGCATTATACATTATGATTTTTCTAAAGTGTATCATATCTCAAGATTAAAATTAAAATTTGTATATTTAATTTTACTTACATTTAATAATTCAATGAATTAATTTAATAAAACTAAATTATCAAAACTAAAACCAGCATATTTATATATATACACATATGTATGTAAATCATTATTGATTCAAGGAGTTAGTCATATAGAATTAGTTTACTTTATTTATTACATGGAAATTCCATGATGGAATTCCTCTCTCTCTATCTCTCTCTCTCGCTCTCGCTCTCTCTCTCTCTCTCTCTCTCTCTCTCTCTCTCTCTCTCTCTTGTCTTTCTTGTCTCCTATGCCTATCCATGCATTTTCTCTTTCTCTTTTATTCTTCTTTCTCTTAAATTTCTCACATACTTTTCTCTGTTTCTCTTTCAATCTCTCTCTCTCTCTCTCTTTCTCTCTCTCTCTCTCTTCCTTTCTCATACTCCCTCTGTCTGACTAATACTCCCCTTCTTGTACAGAAAGTATTCTCCCTATCTCCCTTAATCTCTCTCTCTCTCCCTATATTTTTACCTCCATCACCCTATTGATATCTATCTATTTCCCTTTCTTAGCATACCTCTCTCTCTCTTTCTCTCTGTCTCTCTTTATCTCTCTATCTCTCTGTCTCTCTCGCGCACTCTGTCTCCCTCATCACGAACTATTTTTCACCTTATTTCCCTTTGCATTTGTCGAATCCAACAATTCAACTACATAAATCGCATTACATTCTCCAGCTATTACACAGTTATGTGCTCCTCGCTTATTCGCTGCACATATTAGAAATTACGAACGATGAATGATGCCGCATCGCGTCTTGAATAATGCGGCCAATGCATTGCGTTGCWTTTGCTTTATTAGCCAAATTGTTGTTGTTGCTGTTGTTGTAGCTGTTTTCCATATGTGTGGCTGGCTCTTGGTCGAAAGGCCAACTAACCCAGGCACTGGTGCTGCTGCTGCTGCCCATTCCCTACCTTTTCGGCAAATAGCCAACTCCTGCTGCTCCTCTTCGTCGTACTCCTCCTACACCCCCCTGCCCCCTGCTTGCTTCCATTGCTGCCTTAAGCTGTATATCCGACAAGCATTAAAAACAAATTAGCATAAATTTTGTGTGGGCCGCTCGTTCGTTTAAGCCTTTTGTTAAACGCATAATGCAAGCAACGCAGCTTAAAGGCCACCAATGCAAGAGCAACAACAACAACAGCTTGGAGCACAGCAGGAGGCGGCAGCCACGCCCGCTGAGCGGTTAAAGTTGAATGTGTGGACGCTGCAGCTGGTTATTTGAGGCAACAAAAGAATTTGAAACTCTAATTAAGATGAAAATTGTGACACAACATAAGCGACGACGACGACGAAGAAGCAGCAGACGCAGACGCAGACGACGATGAAGCTGAAGAAGATGAAGAACTGCTGTGAAATATGGCCAGCTGTATGACCTGCAGACACTGCGAGGGCAGCCAAGCGCATAGCAATATTAACTTGGCCCAAACGTGGATTGGGCTATGCGCAGAGCTGATTGAATTTTAGCTAAGATTTCAGATTTATTTGAAGATTTATTTGGCTTAGTTCTAGAAATCGAGCTTATGTAACTTAAGTTGAGCTTATCCTGGTCGTAGACAACTTATCTAATGCACTTATCTATAGGGTGGGGCATATGGAGATGACTTTCGCCTGATCTCAAATGAGCAGAAAATTTAGGCTAGGCTTGCACAACAACTGAAGCTGGTTAAGTTTTTGTTTTTAAGCTTTTGTCTTATCTTCAGTCTGCAACAAGAAAGACTATATAAT